TGTATTGGGGTGCACAATATGGGTAATAATTGGAGAAATTTCCTAATTTAAAATACGCCATCGGAAAGATGGAAAACCTGAGGAAAAATAGGAATATGAATAGAAATATGAGAGGGATTATCATTGTGACATAGGAGTTCGTACTTGTCCTGGAGGGTGCCACCTTCATCTTTTTTTTCTAAATTGTACTTCACAGGGTACATGAACCTTGATGGAGCAAAGAAGACCTGAAGAAAATTTGACAGTAATAAACAAATTACTAAATTAAAGATCGTTCGGGACTCAAAAGATTTCGATTTTTCAATTTTTTTGTTAATAAATGTCTGATTAAGGACTAAAAAAAACAAGTTTTTGTTTTGACAAATATCTTTCTAAAACACCGTGTTTTTTGGTTATACTATAATTAAATTATACGGGATTTTTAGATTTTAGAAATTAAAGAATATACAAAAAAAACAGGGTACATAAATCCTAACTAACTCATTTATACTTTTTTAGAGAACAATAGAACTTATTTTTCTCATATTTGGGAGTAAAATAAAATCTAGAAAAGCTCCGAACCCACAATGTCGGACCAGCAATTTTGCATAATTCTTACCATTTCCTTCTACGATTGGAGTAAAATAAGGACAATTTGCGGAAAAATACAAAGTGCAAAAGACAAGGCTTAAATAGTGATGTCTTTTTTTCAAGTGTTTTGTATTTATTTTCGTAGGGTAATTGAGAAACTGATTTAAATAAAAAAATTCCATACAAAACTGACATCACGTTTTTACACTTATAAAATTGTGGCGTTATTTTCTGGAATCTTAGTGTACCTCTATAAAGTTAATTAAAGAATAATGACGTAGACTCACTAAAGAGAGCAAGTCGTTCCAAGAAGATTGTAAATACAATTTCTTTTCAAAAAGATCTTTGCAAAAGAAATATAAAAAATTCTTTGTTAATAAAAAATTCCAATTTTTTGTCCCGAGAACTTAGTATTTACTCTGCATAATTCGTTCCGAGAAAGTAGTCAATACAATTTCGTACAAATTAGAAATTCGTTTGTTAAATAAAATAAAATCATTTGTCCCAAAAATTGGTTCTCAGTATTTTTAGGACCTTTAAATCAGGGTTGTATATTTTTGGCAGATCTGAAGTTCTTGGGGAGGGGGGAATAATTTGACATCAAAAGGTACATCCCCTTTTCCATACTTTTTACCCAAAAATCCGTTAATTTCCACCAAAAATCATTTCCTTTCCTAAATTCAGTGTATAAAACCGTCATAAAATTTTTGCCGCTTCGCACAAACACAAACATACTGAATTTTCCCATAATCAATTATTCTTCCCAATTCAGGGGAAACAAACCCTAAAAAACATACCAAACCTCTGGGAAAAAAATTATTTAAAAAAATATGACTTTCCAAGGAAATATAAAACCCCTGCACGGTGATATAAATGTCTCGGTTTTAAAGTTAAAAACGCAAAGACCTAAACTAATTTTACCCATTTCAAGTAATCCTTCGTATTTATATCCTTAATCTTATTAAAAGTTATTATTATGTTTATTGGGAGACCCTGTATGTAAATATGTTTATGGGACACCCTGTAAATAAGGTATATTATAAAGTAAAACGTCTTCCAAAAATCTTAGCTTGATACCGACATGATAGAATAATTTTTACCTGTTTCCTCATGAATCTGATATTTTATTGTCATGAATGGTTCAAGTATTTTGAAATACACTATCCAAGTCCAACACAGGTTGGTCGAGTGTTAGACCACCAAACCGGTTTGCAAAGGGTCAGCTGTCTGTGGTTTGGATACTGGAAGGGGGGGGGGGATTTTTGTATCAGGGAAGTTAATGAATTTTCAAGGACATACCCTGCTTTTAATAAATCTCTACAGGGTGTCCCCATAAACATGGAAATTAAACGACGACATTTTAATCGTCTTTGTTTCGCGCGGCATTATTATGCGAACACAATTGTTGAAGCATTTCAGTTAAAACAGTTAATAATTCAAACCACTAGTGTTAATTGAGAATTCCAAAATGTGGTTTACCATATTTGCACGTTAAGAATTGACGGAGATAAATCAATCTGTCCAGCTAGATTCTAATTCATTAAATTACGACAAAACCTTTAAAATGTTCAATATCAAAGTCAATTTAGAAGATACAAAGAAGGCAGACCACATTATCAAAATCTCATAATTTGCACAGCATTAAATTTGTCCACACTTTGCCATATACAATCGAAGACGACTTTCAAGTCTTAAAATTCCCATGTTTATTGGGACACTTTGTAGTAAAACGATTTTGGTAAAACTTAAAGGACGACCGTTAGTCTCAATTTTCAATGAGAAAAATTCTAGATAGGCGGCGTGAATACCCCCCCCCCTCCCCCCTAGAATGATTTTGAACCCCTGTGTGATGCATGTAAATAAAAATATTGCATAATATTTAGTTTTGATTTTTTTCTTATTTCGGCTCTTAATCAGTTTATTAAACAAAGGTATACCATTATCTTTAAGACATTTGTAGAATGTAGATCGTAGATTCTGTAATGGATTTATCGTGTTAAAGATACAGGGTGTCCCACGAAGCATGACAGTTGGTGAATAGTTCTGAATGTCTTCTTCCACAAACTGTATTGGATATTAAAGACTTTTTCCAATTTATTTCTTTAAATAAATATTAAACACATATATATTTTACTTTGAAATCAATTTTACTATAATACAACTGTCATATAAAAAATGTAATTAGTCTCTTTAGTATCAAACAACTTATAAAATATGGAAGAAGACAGTTTAAACTATTCACCAACTGTAAACAGACTGAATTATAAAATATGGAAGAAGACAGTTTAAACTATTCACCAACTGTAAACAGACTGAATTATAAAATATGGAAGAAGACAGTTTAAACTATTCACCAACTGTAAACAGACTGAATTATAAAATATGGAAGAAGACAGTTTAAACTATTCACCAACTGTAAACAGACTGAATTCAAAAAATAAATCTATAAATTTGCCACATGAAGCGCTAGAAATAAAAGTACGTTTTTGAACCTTTGCGCATACGCGCTCCTCAATTAGCAATGAAGCGCTAGAAATAATTAGTACAAACTTAATACTTTATTTTCACTAGTGGCCGCGATGACCAATTTTTCTAAATTTTTGGTTTTTTCTATGCATGTAAATAGTTTTGTTGTAGATATTGAACTCATGAAATGCAGTCATTAAATTGGCGAATTGGATTTAAGATTCTCTTAACTATGCCTTGTTTCTCAGTTTTAATTTTAGACCAATCCAATCTGAAAATAAATTAACAACTTTAGTTTAAGCCAATACACATGCCATGAATGATGTCAAAAATGTGTTAAAATGCATTAAATTAAATTCTCGGAAAACAAGATTTTACGGTGATTACCAATTGAAGAGCGCACATGCCGCAAAACACGTTTGGGTGACGGTGATTAAAAATTGAGAACTTATGCACTCCCCCCCTGGCATTACCCTGTTTACAGCTTTTTAGACAATTAAAATAAAAACTTTATAATAAATTTAAATTCATCTATTTTTTAATGATTATATATTTTTCATTACAATTGTATTTTTCTCGTACAAATAGTTGAGGTTGGAACTAAATTTTATAAACTTTTATAAACATTTAACAGTAAATAGTTTTGGATTAAAGGGACTATATGTGTAATTTCAACTGATTAATTTATTTCAAAATATTTTTTTGACCTATCCTTTTTAATAACTTTCTAGAAATTCTTTCTTGAAAAATGTTTATTTTTAGCAATAAAGCTGACAGAACAGTAGTTTTTAGCAATAAAACTGACAGAACTGTAGTTTTTAGCAATAAAACTGACAGAACTGTAGTTTTTAGCAATAAAGCTGACAGAACTGTAGTTTTTAGCAATAAAGCTGACAGAACAGTAGTTTTTAGCAATAAAACTGACAGAACTGTAGTTTTTAGCAATAAAGCTGACAGAACTGTAGTTTTTAGCAATAAAGCTGACAGAACTGTAGTTTTTAGCAATAAAACTGACAGAACTGTAGTTTTTAGCAATAAAGCTGACAGAACTGTAGTTTTTAGCAATAAAACTGACAGAACTGTAGTTTTTAGCAATAAAACTGACAGAACTGTAGTTTTTAGCAATGAAGCTGACAGAACTGTAGTTTTTAGCAATAAAGCTAACAGAACTGTAGTTTTTAGCAATAAAACTGACAGAACTGTAGTTTTTAGCAATAAAGCTGACAGAACTGTAGTTTTTAGCAATATAGCTGACAGAATTGTAGTTTTTAGCAATAAAACTGACAGAACTGTAGTTTTTAGCAATATAGCTGACAGAACTGTAGTTTTTCTTTTATGTTCAGTCAGTAAAATTTACGCATACGAATACGATCCCGTTAGGAACAAAATACAAGAAAATACTGAAAGATTACAAATTGTACTTTCATCTTATTATGTAACATTGTGCATATACTTAGATTAATAACTTGATTAAATTTACGAATTACAATTACCTAAAAGAAGCGTAAAAGCATAACAAAACTAATAATTCATTAATTAATATGTAAAATTGTACTTAAAAACTTGTGATTTGTTAACTACAAAACAGACAAACTATAACGTAGCTTATTGCTAAATTTGAACTTCAAAAAACTTAATTTTGCTTACACTCTAAATTGTTACTAAACAGCGAATTTGTTAAAATTTATTTCCAAAAAAAATGCCATTTAAAAGCAAAGTAAAATAAAAATGCATAGTTATTATTTAAATCAAATATTTAAACTCAATATATATGTTATCTCTATTCTTTTATTTGTAATGGCTTAAAGTTTAATAATTGGGCCTTAGCTTGGAAGGGGGGAGGCTTTGATGGCAGTTAGATTTCAGAATATTCTTTGTTCACAACCCTTTATATGTACTTTGTCGCCACGTGATGTAAACCGTACCCCCTCCTAACCCCCCCCCCCCCCCAACTATTAAACGAATCTTTTTTTAAATTCTAAATACGGATGATTTCTATTTACTCCTCTGATTTGTTCTTCTTCTCCTCCTGGTTCTTAAGAACGGCAGCTACCAGAGCAGCGCCACGACCTGACCCATCTGTTGACAGCATCAGGTCGAACTGATATTCAACCCCCATCAACTGCGCGATACGGGACTTCATGATGTTTGGGAAGTGCGGATGATACCTAGAAATACGGGAATTTTAATTCTTCAATATTTTTTATTGATATTCTCGACCGTAATTTTATTGAGATTTTAATGACGACATAAAACGTTGAAATTATAACGGTCTAAAGGATAAATTGTGTTTGCTAATTTGCATATTGTATAGAAACTATTTTTAATTATTCTCTTTTTGTAACTGTAAGATATTATTATTTTTCTAGATGTAAAAAGAATGTTTCTACCTGAAAACTGATCCATCAATGGCGACCACCACATCATGGTAATCCATTTTCTTCAGCAGAGCAGTTATTCCTAATTGTCGTTGTATGTATTAAAACAGTGAAGACGACTATTGCAATTGTGTTTAAATAAAAATAAAGCTAGAGAAGCTGTTCTTCTCTGTTTACTTGTAAACTTGTAATTCAAAAAAAGCTTCATTAAATGGATGGCTACAAATGAAAATTAGATCAAAAGTTGGTTTAAATCGATCCTAAATTTCCCTGATTTACCTGCAGATGCCATGAACCCGGCTCTTCTAGACACCAGCTCACAAATATACCTTACTGCAGAGCAATCCTCCTCTAAAAAATTTAAAATTTTCACTCATTAAGAAGTTTCTGGAAATGTTGTCATAGTTGCTGCCAGATTTGAATATGTGCTGCCAATTTTGACATAGATGCTGCCAGAGTTAAATATTTGCTGACCGTTTTTCCATAGTTGCAGCCAATTTTTCCATAGTTGCTGCCAGAGATAAATATTTGCTGCCAGTTTTTCCATAGTTGCTGCCAGATTTGAATATTTGCTGCCAATTTTTCCATAGTTGCTGCCAGAGTTGAATATTTGGTGCCAGTTTTACCATAGTTGCTGCCAGAGTTGAATATTTGGTGCCAGTTTTACCATAGTTGCTGCCAGTTTTGAATATTTTCTGCCAGTTTTGCAATAGTTACTGCCAGTTTTCCTAAAGTTTTTGCCAGTTGTTCATACTTTATGTCGGTTTTTGCATAGTTTTTATAATTTTTGAATATTTGTTGCCTGTTTTGCATAAATAATACCAGCTTTTGTTTAGTTCGACCAGTTTACAGTAGTAGCTGCTTTTTTTTTACTTCAAAGTTTTTTTTTCATAGTTGATGTTAAGTTTTAATAGTTGTTACCAGTTTTGGCAGTTTTTGCCAGTTTTTTGTCCTAACAAACACCGTTCTTAACGCTCTATATATTTTATAATAAAAATGGTAAACTTAAAATTATTTTTCAACATCTTTTCCTGCAACTAAAACTATCACGCTTTACACGTCATGATCCTAATATGATCTCACTAATTTTTCAATGTAAACACTATTTCTTGTAAATACTATTTAATCGTCTTCTTACAGACATGTTAAAAATAAATCAATTTGAAAATAATTGGGTTTGTCATGATATAAACTTATGTTTATTGTAATTTTTCTAACAAGCTTCAATTTTAACGCTCTGTATATTTTCATGATAAAATTGGTTTAATTAAAATTATTTTTCACAACTTTTCCTGAACTAAAACTGTTACGCTTTACCAACGAGGTTATAGTATATAGAGTAATGATGTACGCTAATCCTTAAATAATTGTACAGGTCATGTACTTCACTTCTAAAGGTCAATTTGTATATTACTGTACTCGAGGGCGATTTCTTAAAATATTTAAATGGAGAATTTGTTTCCATGTAACTAAATCCACTACACTCCTTTATTGTGTGAAGGATTCCATTTTCACGGGAAGACAATCATGATAAACAGATTTGGTAATGTGGTTATTAAATGCTCCTTGTGAAAATTATGACCTTTTTTAGACTAAAAATGGGGGGGGGGGGGATTTTCTTTGCCTCTCATTCAAAATCTCATAAAGATATATGCTGATCGAAATAGTGAATTTGTTAATCAAGATAATTAACATACGTTTTTAAAGTGCTAAAGCTGACCACGGTAGAATCTGAAATGTGCTTTTTAAACATATTTCTCTATGCGCTTAAAGCTATATAAATTAAAAACCAAGCCAATTTTTGCTTATGCATTTATATTTCTTGGATGTAAAAATTGTACATGTTAGATTTTGTTTTTAATGTGAATCAACCAATATTTGGAAAAGTTAAAACATAAAACGATCAGATTTTTTGTACAATTTGATAAATCCTAAAAACCTGATATTTGAATAGTGCCAGCTTTTGCACGTCATCAACCGAATGTGATCTCACTAGTTTTTTGTTATTATAAACAGCACTTCTGCTTAATTGAACAATATATTTGTATTTGTGAATAATGATAAATATTGTCTTTTCTCAACAAACCATTTTTTGTTTATTTATTTGATAAGATTCTAAGATTAAGCTATTTTTACAGCACTATCTGCGTCATAGTCTGTTATTGTTTTAAAGAATGTCTTCTAAAAGTAAAGTGCAGGGGCGAATACAGGATTTAAGTGAGGGGGGGTGCTAGATTTATTTCGGACCAAAAAAATCAAGATTTAGGAAGCAAAAGACACACCGAATGCAATTTTTTTGACTTTCTTGTTTTGCACTAGATTTTCTTTCCCTTTATTGCTATTGAGAAGCTGTTCTAAAATCTCAGAGGGGGGGCTACAAATCGAATTGTTTTAGCCTATGTCACCTCCAGGCTACCCATGAGTGTCCACAAAAAATTCAGCCCATTCGGTCCAGCCGTTCGGCCGGCTATAGGGAACATATATACGAATGTCTTGTTTTATATTTTCCTCATTTTCCTCAGATAAAGGTTTAAAGGGTACTGTTCTTCAAAATCCTAAATTTTCGTGAACATTCCCTTTAAGATGCAAAAAAAAATGTTCATAAAAATTCCAACCTGATACATCTGGCATCCCTAGCTCCGCCAGAACCTTCCTGCACTTGGTGTAGTCCCCAACCTGATCTGCCTCGATCTTGGAGACAAACTTGGTCTTAAACCCGCCCCACTCAAACAGGGAGTCCGTGTTCTGGTCCGTGAAGATCAGATTCTCCCAAACCATATCCACCAGGACCTAAAGAGCACTATTATATTACCAATGTTATTTTGAAGTACTGTCCTAACTTCAAGGAAGCTACAGGGTGTCCCACGAAACAAGACAGTTGGTGAATAGTTTAAAATTGCGTCTTCAATAATTTGTTAAGTTCTTTGGTACCAAAGAGAATAATAAAAAACATGAAATGGCAGTTATATTATAGTAAAATTGATTTCAAAGTAAAATATATTTGAGTAATATATTTGCTCAAGTAAATAAACTGCAAAAAGTCTTTAATATCTAATACCGTATAAGGAAGAAGACATTCAAAACTATTCACCAACTTATATGTTTCGTGGGACACCCGTTTAGGACATGCTGTACAGTATTCTTACACACTATAGACAGCAAACCGGGACGGTACACCAAATTAATTAACCACTGATCGTTAGATTACTGTGAATTGGAATCGCTTTTTAACATTGAAATGGAAGCTATAAACGTAATTGTAAGTGACCGGCCATTTAAAAAAAGAGTGCCCGACTTACTATGGTACCCGAAACATGGTTAGTCAGATCAAGAATACGTGAACGTTGATTATTTTCAATTGTTGTTTCTCAAACTAACTTTCAGATTTCTGATTCAGAAACAAGGAAAAAAGATGTCAGAATTAAGCACTGTTTAAGCTTGAAAAATGATAATATCTTCATTGTATAGATGAGAATCGTTACAAATCTGTGATGCCCCCAATTAATATGTAAGGTCCCTCGAGGCCAAATTTTAAAAAAACATGAGACGCGGTTCAAACATGGTATGTATGGTATGTATGGTAATTTTATAAAGTGTTTCGAGATTTTGAAACGGCGCTTAATTGGAACTGGTTATTGTCGGTCTCAAATGAATACTAAAATGAATCTCTATAATACTGCACTTTTAGCTCAACTACAGGGTGTCTCAAAAAACATGGGAATTCAGTGACGAATTCGATATCGCCTTTGTTATAAATTAGAATTGTTTAACGTAATTTCAAAAGCCATAATATTATTATGTCTGTTAGAGTTTATTTTATGAAAACGGTAAATGACTGTAAAGATGTCTCCGCAAAATGAACAGTGAAGACGGACAAGTTTACTCTGTTTGTATAATGCAATTTTCTTGTTTTACTAAGTACAACCGTATGCAGTCAAAACATAAACAAACAAAATGTGAACATAGCAGACGAAACTCTTACAGATTACAGCTTTCTCAGTAGGTATCAATCAGAGGCGTATTCAGGGGGACTAGGTCCCCCCTGGACTAGTGAAATCTATTGGTTTCAGGGGGTTTTCAGGCCCCAACGGGTGCTAAGAGAAAAAAGAGAAAAAAATGTATGCCCCCCTGGACAAATTCCTGAATACGCCCCTGGTATCACTATACTAAATCAAAGAATTATTTATAAAAACGATAACGAATTCGTCACTGAATTCCCATGTTTATTGGGACACCCTGTACCGTGTATAGCCGGTCACTCCCATTTTCTATTTTTAAACTATGAAAGATCTATTTTGCCCCCCCCCTTCCCTACAGCTAAACATAACAGACTATAATCTGTTAAATCAAATTCCTAGCATGACCTTCAAAATTATCAAATCAAAATGAATGGTTTAATTAAAATGTTTAATCCTTCAATCTTCATGATGAATTTAAATTTTTACAATTTCTCGGTATACGGGTTGGTGTGGGGAGACTAATTAAACTGACAGCTTATTAAACCAAAAACATTCAGAATTAGATAGAAAATGTATAATTGCTTGATACAGTGGGATACATAAAGTTGTGGAATAGGAAGACAACTGTACGACTCAAGATATTTTTAAAATATTCCAATTATCATGAAACACAGCAATTGTGCAGAATTGTAGTATACTGCATTATATGTTCTGCACTGTATTGTATGTAGATAACCTAGAGTTCTGACTACTGTACTCTAAAAGTTGTATTTTCCATGCCGGTACAACGTGTAAACTGTCTATTTCCTGTCCTATTTACCTCTCTATTTCCTGTCTTATTTACCTTTCTATTTCCTGTCCTATTTACCTGTCTATTTTCTGTCCTATTTACCTTTCTATTTTCTGTCCTATTTACCAGCTATTTCCTATCCTATTTACCTTTCTATTTCCTGTCCTATTTACCTTTCTATTCTCTGTCCTATTTACCAGCTATTTCCTATCTTAATTACTTATCTATTTCCTGTTATGATAACCTCTCTATTTACCTGTCTATTCCCTGTCCTATTTATCTGTTTATTTCTTGTCCTATTTACCTTTCTATTTTCTGTCCTATTTACCAGCTATTTCCTATTTTAATTACTTGTTTATTTCCTGTTATATATTTACCTGTCTATTTTCTGTCTTATCTGTCCTATTTATCTGTTTAATTCTTGTCCTATTTACCTTTCTATTTTCTGTCCTATTTACCAGCTATTTCCTATTTTAATTACTTGTTTATTTCCTGTTATATATTTACCTGTCTATTTTCTGTCTTATTTACCTCTCTATTCCCTGTCCTATTATCTGTTTATTTCCTGTCTTATTTATCTTTCTATTTCCTGTCCTATTTACCTGTCTATTTCCTGTCCTGATTACCTGTCCTGATAACCTGTCTATTTTCTGTCCTTATTTCCTATTTAATTCCAGTCCTGATTAATCCTATCCTGATTTTGTCTGTCCTGATTAACTGTCTTTTTCCTGTCCTAATTTCTAATCCTGATTTCCTGTCCTTATTTATCTGTCCTGATTAACTGTCTATTTCATATCCTGACCTTATTTCCTGTCCTAATTTCCTATCCTCATTTCCTGTCCTTATTTCTTGTCCTCATTTCCAAGTCCTGATTACCTATCTATTTCCTGTCGTTATTTCCTGTGTATTTTCTGTCCTGATTTCCTGTCATTCTTACCTGTCTGACTATTTCTCCCATATACATCCCGGAAATCATCTTTTCAAAGGTTTGCTTCCCCGGGTTCAAACTTCCCTCATCAACTGAGGAAAAAAAGAACTTTAAAGGAATTGTTTCCATATTTGAAACTGCGCAGTATATTCTGCAACTAGAAACACAACAAAGCCTGTAGTAAATGTTGTACTCTTAAAACTTTGTACCGAACTGTATCAGTCCAGGTACAATCTGTCCGCTATTGGTTATCTATCGGTGTCAATACGGACAATAGCAAATAATTGATCAATGTCTCAAACAGGACACGATCCACACGGCTACAATCCAGTGAACTATCAACGCCACTACCACTGGCGCGATCTTGGTAGATATGTCAACCAGACCATAGCAATCAATTGATTAATATCTCAAACCGGACACGAGATCTCAACTTTGTTTCAACGAAAACCAAATTACACTCAACACTGTAATCAAAGTGGAGTTTCTATATTAACTAGTTTATTTTAGATATCTCATGTTACAAGTTAACCTGAGTTGACATAATTCTGTAATCCTGAACCACGTTGTACATTATTAACTATCTAAGTTTGTAAACTTCTATGTAAAACCCATTATTAATTTGAACTGGGCTTCAAATGAATGCGTAGCATGATTAGCTTAATCATGTGATATTTATAATGACATACTCTAGAATATGATAAAAAATTCAATGCAACAACTCAAACGTCAAATATTCCGAGAGACGATTTTACAATTTATTATACTTTATACAAACATTGAGAAAGAAAATACTATACGATCGATGAAAAATAAATAATAGTGTATGGTAGAAGGATGCTTAGGATATTCCTCCACCTTGCATCGAAAGGGTTGGTGTCCCACTGCTTTTCTCCGGGAACCTTCACCCATCCTTCTTTGGATTTAACCCTAGCTTTCCCAGCCTGTCGGGCCGACACCCCTAGCGCAATGCCCTCCAAGATAACGGACGGCGTAGCTTGGGTTAAAAATAACTAAGCTTGGCTTGTTCCCGAATTTTCAAGTAAACAACAAAACCGTTATTATTCTATATCTGTACAACAGGGGTGTAGTATAGTACCCCTAGATAACTATGATCGCAGCGATCTTAAGATCCCTTGAACCGCTGATCGTAAAAGATCAACAAAATCACAACATCATTACAATATATCTTAATTGCGCCTATATTAACTGTGCTGTAAATATGTAACTTGATTGTCTTAATCATGTGATATAGATGACAACGTAGGAATTGTAATTACATCTATTTACTTTAACTTGTAACATGTAAACCTCAAATACATCAGTTGATATAGAGACTCTGCTTTGATTACTGCAAGAGAGTAATTGTGTCCTTGTTCTAAACGAATGAGTTGAAGATTGTGTCCAAGTCCAAGAGGCATTGATAGTTTATGAGATTGTGTCCTAGTTGAGGCATTGATAGCTCAAGATTGTGTCAAAGCATGCTTGTGTCTGTGTAGACGTGCTTGTGTCTGTGTAGACGTGCTTGTGTCTGTGTAGACGTGCTTGTGTCTGTGTAGAAGTGCTTTTGTCTGTGTAGTGATAGCTGACGAGGTTGTATAATAGTTTAGTATTGATAGCTAAGTGAAGCTCTATTGTACCTGGATAGAAACTGGTTCGGGAGCAGTTTATAGATTAATATTATAAAATAGAAATGTAATAAGTCGACACGGCATCCGGTTAAAACATGTAAAGATTGAAAAACTAAGTTTAAGGCAAGTTATCAGTTTCTTTGACTACACTAATCGGCGGAGAATAAAGCAGTTTTTTTTTTCAATATTATTCTGAGGACCACTGTATCAATTACTTCTTACCCGCCATATCCCACTTGGTCCTGATAAAGTCAAGCTCCCCCTGATCTCCGAACGCCCCCCACTCTGTGTTGATGATGACATGTTTAGGCTCCCCATGATCGCCGTCCCAGACCTCTACATTTTCAATATCCTAAAAAATTCACAGGGTTTTCCATATTTAAAAAAATCTAAATTTTGAAGCAAACATTTTCTTTGTCGAATGACCAAGTAGGTCCAGCATTGAGTTTCAGCCATTTTGACGTTGTTTGGATAGATAGATATAGCCAAACAAACATAACCAAGTATAAATATTGGTGAACAGTAGTTGATGGTTAACCAGCAAGCGTTTGTATACATATTTGATTAGAAATTTTTTATTGTTTTATTCTGGAATGTAATAAAGAACATTTTCATTGAACAACAAAATCTTACCTTTTTATTAAAAGTGTCATGGTATGAAAGGTTAAATGGAGTGAAAATTAAATAATAGAAGAAAAAAAATTCTTCATTTTGTAACTAAAATGTATTTTACGTGAAATTTTTTAAGATTTTTTGGATTATTCGATTTTATGAAGTTCATATTCAATTTTTGATAATTTTGAAAATCCACAAAATTTTGTTTTTAAATCAGCGAAATTTTTTTATTTTGCAATGTTTACAAAGAGAACATGTTCACAATTGAAATAGAAGATGATATATATACTTTGCTTGTCTGTCTGGGTGTTTGTTTGTTTGTACCCAATAAACGCCAAAACGGCTGAACCGCATGACCCCGGGGTAGGTTTAAGGTTGATTAAATTTTCAAAAATTCACGAAATTTTTTGTTTGTTTTTGTTTTGCGTGAATGTACACAAAAAGAACATGTTCACAATTGAAGTAGAAGATGGGCGCAAAGCGCCATAAATCCCTAGTCTACCTTTACCTATGTTTACACACACTGCAGATACATGGGTATGAGTTTCGAAGAATTATTTATAATAGGGGAGGAGGGGGGGGGGGTGGAAATCAGCTGGCAAGTATTTTACGCTGCTGATACATTTTCTCCAAAAATTCATCTTTTTCCTCTGATGAGTATTATTAATAAACAATATAATCTTTAACAAACATATTTACTGGGAAAAGAACAAAGAAATTGAGTCTTTGCCACAAACTCTGATTTTCTATATCTTTGGAACCAAATGTTGCAGACCTTAGATATTTCAAACGAATTCTGTTAGATCAAATAATCAGAGTTTGAAATATCAAAGGTTTACAGCATCAAGTTCTAATGATATTGAGGTTTAAATATTTGATTTTGTTCCAAAGACTCAATTCTTTTATAGAGATGATTTTTGGGTTTTTTAATATATATAACGAAGAAAACTTTTTATTAAAATTTTGATTATTCTAACAGCAGAGTAAAATAAACATGTTTTTATACATACAGCTGTTTCTAAGCCACCTACCTCAAGATAACACGCATTAGTTCCGGTTCCGATAATCATTCCGATCCTGCACTTCTTGTTTTTCCAAGCCGAGGACATCAAACATCCTAAAAAAAATTAATTTCAGACATATATGGTCAGGATTATTATTTGGTTTTATCTGACCNTGGTTTCTTCTATAGGAAATAAAACAAGTTTTGGTCTATAACTCAACATCCTTTAAACTTACGGATTTGTTTATTTTATACTTTTTTATTAAAAACGTATATGCCGACAAAAAAGTATTTTCGAAATAAGGTTAAAAAATTATGTATAAGGGGTTCAATTGTGATCGAAAGTCGCAGCTTTCTAAAATATTGACAGAACCAAATTTCTAATTCCTGTGCAACCTAATAGTGTGAACATTTGATATTTCAAACTTTGATTTTTTGATCTTGCACAGACTTCATAAGAAAAAGGAATGAAAAAAGAAGAATGAAACCTGATAAATAATAATAAATTATCTCTTTATCAGTTAAAATAATTATTCTTAAAATTTCACCTGTTGTATCGTTAAGTATTGCACACACCTCTATATCAATATCTCCTCTTCTACCTACAAAGGCAAATTTTTATTTTATTTTAAACAACAAACATGACTAAAAAATTTAAAAATATTTTGGGAAAACTAGTTTTCCATAAAAATCACAAAATTGTAACCAACATTTGGTCCAAAACAAATTGTTTAAAAAGAACTATATTGAAAAACAAAAATCCGTGAAATATCAAAAAGATAATCCATGAACTAAATATTTATGCATAAAAAATTGATTTCAAATAAAATACATTAATTGGACAATAATAAAGCCATTTCATTTTTTAATTGAAAAGATGTAAAGAAAGTGTATGGTTTTCTATTTCCGAATTTGTTTGAAACGAAAATTGCAGTTTCCCTTCCATACATTTAGTATTTATATAAAACACCTTTTACAAAAGTGTTAATTTTCTCTGAACATAAAAAAATAAATTCATATTTAGGATAAAAACATAATGTTGTAAAGATACCAACCTATCGCTTCTTTAAGAAGTTGGACCACATCCTCCCCCTCCACCCCAGAACATTTAAATCCCTAAGAAATTTTAAAAACTTTTAAAAACTGAAGAAATGTTATATTTTTTAAATGGTATTGGGAACTTTAAAAAATGTATTGGGTTAAAACCAGGTATTAAAATTTAAGACTGGTTACTGGGTTAAAACCTGGTATTGGAAACTTAAGACTGGTTACTGGGTTAAAACCAGGTATTGGAAACTTAAGACTGGTTACTGGGTTAAAACCAGGTATTGGAAACTTAAGACTGGTTACTGGGTTAAAACCAGGTATTGAAAACTTAAGACTGATTCCTGGGTTAAAACCAGGTATTGGAAACTGAAGTCTGGTTACTGAGTTAAAACCGTGTATTAAAAACTTAAAACTGGTTACTGGGCTAAAACCTGGCAATGGAAACTTAAGAATGGGTACTGGGTTAAAACCAGGTATTGGAAACTTAAGACTGGACACTAGGTTAAAACCTAGTATTGGAAACTTAAGACTGGTTACTGGGTTGAAACCAGGTATTGGAAACTTAAAACTGGTTCCTGGGTTAAAACCTAGTATTGGAAACTTAAGACTGGTTACTGGGTTAAAACTGGGTCTTGGAAATTTAAGACTAGTTACTGGGTTAAAACCAGGTATTGAAAACTTAAGACTGGTTATCAGGTTAAAACCAGGTATTGGAAACTTATGACTCGTTACAGGGTTAAAACTGGGTCTTGGAAACTTAATACCGGTTACTGGGCTAAAACCTGGCAATGGAAACTTAAGACTGGGTATTGGGTTAAAACCAGGTATTGGAAACTTAAGACTGGGTACTGGGTTATTAAACTGGGTATTGGAAACTTTAAACTGGTTACTGGGTTAAAACCTAGTATTGGAAACTTTAGATTGGGTACTGGGTTAAAACTGACTGGGTGTTGGAAACTTATAACTGGTTACTGCTTTTAAAACCGGATATTGGAAACTCAAAACTGGTTACTGGGTTAAAACCTAGTATTGAAAACTTAAGGCTGGTTACTGGGTTAAAACTGGGTAATGGAAACTTAAAACTAGGCACTGGGTTAATACTGGGTATTCACTGGGTTAAAACTAGGCACTGGGTTAATACTGGGTATTCACTGGGTTAATACTGGGTATTCACTGGGTTAAAACTAGGCACTGGGTTAATACTGGGTATTCACTGGGTTAAAACCAACTCTCAATGGCTCTAAATAACGTAAAGTCTAGAAAAGAGTCCAATGAATTTGTTGTATCTACGTCATTGAAAGAAAACGTATTATTCTCCTAACTAGAATAAAACAATTTTCTTCTAAAAGGTTACAGCAAATGCATTACATATCGAATAAGTTTCTATTTTTACATTTCGTAAGATTGATTTTTTTAAACAAAAAAATTTGACAACAAAATGCATGCTTTTTTATCCTTTTTGATAATTCCCCTCACAAAATAAATTTTTTTTTTAAACATTTACTTCCCCCAATTAAGCGAAGAAACCAAAAAAAACTAACTTTTTTGGGGGAAAATATTTTCAAAGAGGAGGGGGGGGGGGTAATGATTTTTCATTAGCTCTCAATTTTTGATTAGCTCTCACCTGGCAGAACTCCAAAGGAGTTACGCACGCTTTGTGCGTTAAATTACAAGACTGAGAGAAAGCCTTTTCTAGCCGCGGCACTCGGTCCCATAGCCTGTCCAAGTAGCGGCGCTCGGCCCACTAGCCTGTCCTAGCCGTAGCCCTCGGCCCAGAAAGTTTCTTAACCTAACCTAACCCTAAAATATATACTAATCTCTCTCTTTCTTGTAATTCAACGCGGCAAGGGCGCGTAACTCCTAAAGGCATCTGCCCTCTCACCTTAGTCCAAGTTGTAAGTCTACCAACAGCTAACCCCTCCTGTTTACAGGGGAAACTAAACGTGAATCCCAGGGGCAATCTAAATATTGAAAAGACTGTTGACGGACATTTTTAAGGTACCATATTTATATACACACTTGTCAGATTCACATTGGTGCCCTGGAAACCCTTATCTTATCAGAAAGATATTTTCTTGTAAAGAGAAAAATTTTGTCAATTACATTCCTTGTCTTTGCTGAGTACACAAGTCTTTCTAATTCCAAAACGGCATTTAATAATTTATCCCTTTGTTTGACAGAAAACAAGATTATCTCCATACTTTATCCCCAGACAAAGGTTTAGAGTATATACCATCTTGAATCATTAATAAATATTCTGAATCGGAAAAAAATATTTTTTTTAAATAATAATAATAACTTTAAATAGTTGTTTTACCTGTGGGTTTCATCTTTTAGGTTCTTCTCGACAATAAATTCTGCCAAACACTGAAAAAGAAACATTTTTTGGGGCAAAATTATGCATTCTTGATTTTTCAAAGAAAAATATTTTTATTTATAAATGATAAGATAAATTCTCCTTCGAGATGACGATTGTGTAGATATTAAAAAAAAAATGTAAATTAAATTTTAAATTAATATTTTTTTGAATAAAAAATTTCAAAACAAAAATTAATTCTTTTCAAGTTTATATAGAAGATTTTAAAATTAATATTTTTTACATAATCAATTTGTCAAGAAGATATTTTTTTGTATTTAGAGTTATTTAGAGAAATTAAATAGGACATAGGACTTAAATAGGACTTAAATAGGACTTAAACAGGATTTAAAGGGAGTGTGCGTAATTTATTTTCAAGTGACCCTTCTTTGCAAAGATGTCCATGTTCACTTCACAACGGTACCCTTAAAAGCTTTGTCTTGAATGTTTGTAATTTTGAAAACTGATTATTTTAATTGTGATTAATCTACATAAGTGACTTGCGCATTTCTACTTCGGGAAACCATATAAGAATTATCAGAATTCAACACTTTTAAACCTAGAAAAACGACAATATTTATATACTACATTATCGATCAGATAAATATTTCAAAGGTACCATTGTGAATCGGAGAACAGCATTTCATGAGGATTATACGCGTACAGTCCCTTTAAAGAGACGTAATCTAATTTGACCAACCATTTAAAAACAGGCATGCCCAATTCTCCTTTACTTTTTCCAAATCCTTCTCCCCTCTCCTGTACCTTTTCCTAATCCTTCTCCCCTCTCCTGTACCTTTTCCAAATCCTTCTCCCCTCTCATGTACCTTTTCCTAATCCTTCTCCCCTCTCCTTTACCTTTTCCTAATCTTTCTCCCATCCGCTGTACCTTTTCATAATCCTTCTCCTTTACCTTTTCATAATCCTTCTCCTTTACCTTTTCCTTATCCTTCTCCTTTACCTTTTCCTAATCCTTCTCCTTTACCTTTTCCTAATCCTTCTCCTTTACCTTTTCCTAATCCTTCTCCTTTACCTTTTCCTAATCCTTCTCCTTTACCTTTTCCTAATCCTTCTCCTTTACCTTTTCCTAATCCTTCTCCTTTACCTTTTCCTAATCCTTCTCCTTTACCTTTTCCTAATCCTTCTCCTTTACCTTTTCCTAATCCTTCTCCTTTACCTTTTCCTAATCCTTCTCCTTTACCTTTTCCTAATCCTTCTCCTTTACCTTTTCCTAATCCTTCTCCTTTACCTTTTCCTAATCCTTCTCCTTTACCTTTTCCTAATCCTTCTCCTTTACCTTTTCCTAATCCTTCTCCTTTACCTTTTCCTAATCCTTCTCCTTTACCTTTTCCTAATCCTTCTCCTTTACCTTTTCCTAATCCTTCTCCTTTACCTTTTCCTAATCCTTCTCCTTTACCTTTTCCTAATCCTTCTCCTTTACCTTTTCCTAATCCTTCTCCTTTACCTTTTCCTAATCCTTCTCCTTTACCTTTTCCTAATCCTTCTNTTATCTAGAAGGTACCAACTAACATTAATCAAGGGACAGTTCAGATATTAGGGTTATCTAGGAGGTACCAACTAACATTAATCAAGGGACTGTTCAGATATTAGGATTATCTAGGAGGTACCAACTATCATTAATCAAGGGACAGTTCAGATATTAGGGTTATCCAGGAGGTACCAACTAACATTAATCAAGGGACAGTTCAGATATTAGGATTATCTAGAAGGTAGCAACTAACATTAATCAAGGGACAGTTCAGATATTAGGATTATCTAGGAGGTACCAACTAACATTAATCAATCAGAAATAAGAAAAGAAATAATAAAAAACTGTTTTATTTGTGTAAACAATTTTGAAAACATAAAAATATAAAAAATGAATTGAGTCTTTGCCACAAACTCGAACTTTTAAATCTTTGCAACCTGATGTTGTAATCCTTTGAAATTTCAAACTTAGATTATTTTATCTAACAGAACTTATATCAACAACTACAACATTGGCTTGCAAAGATGTAGGGATTTTACAATTAGAGTTTGTGACAAAGACTCAATTGTTTCCAATTTTTTCCTATTTTCTCTACCAGATTTCCAAAGTTTTATGAATCTTAATTATTTTGTTCAATTCTTTTTGTTTTGACAGGCCATAGACATTTCTTTTGGACTTAAGAGTTACTGCAAAACGTTTAAATGTTTATAAGATAAATAAACAGACAAAAAAAACTACTTCTATGACTACTTTGATTTCTTAAAACTAATCATGGAGTAATTTACATCAATTTATATTTGTGTGTGAAATTAATTTTCATAAAAATAATAATTATCAATACACTGCATAATTATTCATCTTTGAAAAGAAAAAAATTACCGGGCTTTTCAGCTTACAAATACCGTTATAAAATACATCAAAAAATTACATAATTTTTACCTGAGCGATGTGATCAAAAAGTTGTGTCCCGGAACCCTCCATAATTTCTAAAAAGTTTTATTTTAAATTCTTGTTTTTTACGATATTAAAAATATCTTCTTATTGTTAAAGTCAACGGAGCTATTCTCATAAAATTCATTTTTTTCGTCCCTATGTCATTGCAACCTGATGGTGTAAACCATAGATTATTTGACCTTACAAATGTCTACGACATCTGGTTGCAAAGATGGATAAGAAAATCATAGTTTTTGACAAAATCAATCAGATATTTTGATAAATATAAGCAAGTTTCTTTATTTTATTTTTTTTTATTTCGTAAATCGAAACCTTCACAAATTTTAGAAACCCCAAAAAGGGAACTCGAGAGTTTTGTTCAACGATCTATTTTCTTAAATTTCGGGCTCTCATAATATCATTTTTGAAGTCTATACATCGTTTACAGAGAACAGGTAATATGGAACCATCACTAACATTTATTGGCGTTTGACCAGCCTATGCGTATCGTTTGCAAATGCTCTATGCCTCAACGTTTATGTAAACTGCACAGTGTGCTTCAAGAAATAAAATATTTGTTTTCCATAATTACAAAGACTTTGTTTCCCCGGAACCACTGGACACACTGTGAAGAGTTTTTGTGCAGACAATAATGTACACAATATATACAATAACCCCTACTTATACAGGTCGATTGATTGATTAGTATACACCTATATTCAGCTCAATGATTAGTAAATCCCTTTTATGCTAAAATCAATAAGAATTTAGTTTTTTTACTTCCTTATAACAAAATTGGAAAATAAGTGCTCGATAAAAAAGATGCCTGATTAAGTATGAATTAAGAAAATAATATTATGGTGTAATCGTTATATNCCAATCTTTTTTAATGTTTATCTTGTATTGAAAGAAGTATTTTTCATAAGACCGGTATTTCCTGAGAATGAAGAGTATTTTTCATAAATAATATGAGAGAAAAACAGAAAATAATATCAATAATAATATAATAATGAAAACAGGGATTTATTGTTATATCCTGACACAATAAATAGACTACATATTTTTATCATTTCATTATATTTATTTGACGACAGTAAACTGCGTACAGAATTAATATTAAAATAGTTTTTTTACCGATTTAAAAATACAAAAATGTATTCCCTTTATTATTTAGTTAAATATCATAACTAACTGACGGTAACCTAAAGTAAATTGTACGTAAGAAATATTTATTTTATGTTTTTTTATCATTATACCCTTCTTATTATGTTTTGATTTTCTAATATGCAACCGGTTTCACATTTAAATTTTCTAAATCCTATATCTTTGCAACCTGATGATTTAAACCGTTGATATTTCAAACTTAAATCATTTGATTCAACAGAATTCCTGGTTTGAAATATCAAAGTTCAACGGCATCGTGATGCAAATATATAGAAATAAGAAAATCAAAATTTGTGGCAACATATCATTTTCTCTTACTTGTGTATGAAATCAAAACAAAATCAGTTTGAAAAATCAATTTTTTTACGCTTTATGACAGATTTCAATGAAATTCATTATCATTAATTTAAAGTTTTTTTTGACTTAGTCATCGTTATGGCAAAAAAACGATTTATGGTGAAAAAAACTATATATGTTAAAAAACGATATATGTTAAAAATAACGATATATGTTGAAAAAAACTATATATGCTAAAAACCCAGATATATGTTAAAAAACGATATATTGGGAAAAAACGATATATGTTAAAAAAATGATATATGATAAAAAACGATATATGGTGAAACAACTATATATGTTAAAAAAACGACGCATTTAAGAAAATAAAATCAGGAAAGTAACTCAGTTTTAGCAACAAAATCAAAGTTTTTAATATCTATATCTTTGCAACCTGATAGAGCAAACCTTTTATATTTGAAACTTGGACTATTTGAGCTAACAGAATTCATAGTTTGTAATAAAAGTCCCAAAATTATGATTATTTTGAAAAAGGTAAACTTGGGCCTGTATTTGAAGTACCGTACCGTCTTTTTAGCAGCTGGAGCGAGTTGTACAGTATATACAGAAGACTCAAGACGGTTAAACGGGACAGTTCACAAAATAAATGATCCCTCTCTCCTTACTAAGAATTACCTTTAGGTATCGCAAATATTTTTGAATCCATGTTGCATTTCTTCTCATCGTTTATATCAATCACCAACACTCTAGAAAAATATATTTATTGTATAATTTAGAAAAAATGAATTTATGTAAAAAAAATTAACTTTAAAACTTTGTTTGTACACAAACACATATTGTTCAACTTTCTTATTTATGAAACTGTTTTCCACGGAGGCCTCAAAAAATCAACTGCTAAAAAACTGTTAAAAAAAGGGAGATTATAAAAAATATCCTTATGTCTGTTCATCAAGCTGTTGCATAATAATATGTGGGAATAAAACGAAAATAATTCGAAATTCCTCTTCTGTTAAAAAAAAATAGTAAATCTTAAAGAAATGTTCATGGCCTGTTTCCCGATCCGGATCCATTTTTTTCAGTGCGGATCCAGGATCCGGATCCTAAGCACGGGAGGACTCCTCCGACCAAATTTGGTAAGGATGGGGGAGGGGAGGGAGGGAGTCTCCGATGTATAAGGGCTATTTTTGATAAAAGCAGTTTCTGATAATATGTAATGAGTGTAAGAACAATGAAAGGGAGCCGGAATCTGTTTACATTTTTTTGTGACGTGTTGAGACATCTCTAGAACCGGCTTTATTTTAAACAATAACAAATTTTGAAACAAGGCAGAGCATTTACAGATCATACATATTGTTTGATTAGAAGAAAGCCTAGTTATTGAGCTGGCTTGATGTGTCAGAGTAAAAATGTTAATAAATCCTTATTTTCTGTCTAATCATTAGAGGCCGAATTTAAAGAACGTACATCGCGGAAACGCAAATAACCGGTTCCAATTGAGCTCCGGCTCAAATCTTAAAACACAGTTACAAATTTCAAGGTGAACAAACCATTCCTTAAAGGAATTGAGTTTTTGCCACAAACTCAAGTTATCTAAAACCTATATCTAACTAACTTGATAGTATAAACCTCATGATATTTCAAACTTATATTATTTTATTTAACATAATTCATAGCGTGACAAAGACTAAATTCCTTTGGCCTTAGAATAGAGTAAATTTTTCTAACTTCTCTTAATGAAAAGCTATAGAACTAAAAATATAGAATTTCTAACAAGTAACCAAATAAACCTATTCTTCTCGTAGTTAGTAATGATATCAACACTAGAGCTTTAGGAGCTAATAGATCACAAATTCGTACCATTGATATCGTATAAAATTGGTCTATTACCTGAAATTAGTTCCTCCCAGATCCAGAGCTAGAAATCGGCCCACCTCCTCACCTTAAAGAGACTAGAGATGTAATTTCAAGTAAAGAGGGGCGTGTCGATTCACATAGAGTGCATATTAAACCTTTATCTGTGCAAAAGGGATAAAAATATACTAGTTTTTCTATCTAAATATTGATAATTTTTATTGTGGGTTTGAATGTGACTTGCGGATGTTATGCAGGAGAGACATTATAGAGATACTTAAACGTTTGATGTTGTTACAAAGCAAATATTTTTACTCGTAACTTAGCGAAGCACAATTAAAGGGAAAAGGTTCTAATTACACTGTACAATTGCTATGTCTAATGTTCATTTAACTAGTTTAAGTCCTAACTTGAGTTTAAAAGTCGTCATCCTATTCCAGAGTTTTCTGTTTATCACTGTATTCCTCAGATTTTTAAAAATGCACTAATGAAAACGGAAAAAATCGACGCAAATAACTTTACGTTGGACACAGGCATTGATGAATCTTAACTGTTTACCTGATGGAAGATATCTAACGTATGTTGGAAAACACTTAACGGAAGCCACATCATTATACCTGAATATATGCAGTTTTTTAATCAAAATCACATCAGATTTTAGTTGAAAATGAATTATTATAGAAAATGTGCAAAGAGCTGCCAACTTTAGTGTTTGATAAATCCCAATCCAATCCCTTGATCTCAATATCCACTTTTAAATTTAACCAAGAATTTAAAGATTAACTTAATTTCCGTTTAACAAAAGCGAGATCAAGCATTGATCTCGATATCCACAATACAAGAGTTCACAGTTCTTCACATTTCTGAAAATATATTGTTTGCAACTAATACAAATTAAAGATACTTGTTAAGATGAAATAAAACAGAAAGAAGAGATTAATTGCACAGTTTTCTCATTCCTAATGTAATAAAGTTTAACTCAGAACAACAAAAGAATTTATAAAATGTCGTCTTGAATCTCAGTAATTGTAATAATGCATGGATAACCTTGAAATATGTAGAAACAGTTTTAAAGAGCTAAATATAATTATTCAATTATAGAAATAAATATCTGCAGCATTTCATTATTAGAAGTTCAGAAAACGACATTTTATAAATTCTTTCGGTGACTCCAATTAGTTCTGGGTTAACGTGTACCTAAAGAAGTATATATTTGTTATCACACAACACTAACCTAGTGTGGTAGGGTAAGTAAAATAGGCCTATGATAGACCAGGTACTGTAAAAAGTCTGGCCGCGCCATCAAAGTTAAAACCAGCATTGGATAGGGTCGGGCCGGTACAAGGGGTTGGGCTGGTACAAGGGATCGGGCCGGTACAAGAGGTCGGGATACAAGCATACAAGCATACAAGCATACAAGCATACAAGCATACAAGCATACAAGCAAAGTATATATAGGAAATCAAGGGGAGGAACTAATCACAGTACAATCCGAGAACAGGGCGGGGCCAGTATGAATTTAGTAGAGCCTGTAGCAAATATTGTGTAAACATGATATTCTGGAAACCTGCAGTACATTGTACATTATTAACAACTTAGGCTGTAGACTTATACGATACGTAATGACATAGACATTATTCATAGAAACTGCGTTTCAATTGAATATGTAGCATGATTAGCTTAAATCCTGCCTTATTCCAACAATTATCTTTATTTTGAGATGTATGGAACAGGTTAAATTAATGAACGTAATTAAGCTAAATCGTAATACATGTTAATGATAAGCACCAATAGGTTTTACGTTGGTAACTTCATGAATGTAATTAGGGTATAATGGTATCACATAATATATAGATATTTTCAGGTTTACAAATATGGGGTTTACTACTATATTTATTACATATATATAAAGTTGTAATCTCTGTTTGTCTGTTTGTTTGATTTGACTCAAACTTTGATTGGGGAAATCCGGAGAACCACGTTAATAATCTTAGTGTGGTTTTGAAATGCTCAGTTGAGTGCGTCCACTTTAAAAATCGTAATTTACGATTAAGCGCTGGTAAACAATGGGGGTAACTATGAGTACCCTGGGAAGCACTGAGTTAGTTCTGTATATTCCAGATGTGTGTAGAACCATTTAATCATTGAAATCCTGGATTCGGACTCAAACCTAATCCTTCTCATTTTCTCCTCATCCCTGCTCTATAGTCACAAATCCTGGACACTTTTTCATACTTAAAAGATACATTGTACATTGTACAATGTACAATGTGCTTCCCCCACACCTCAGCCAAAAACTTAAGCTGGGCAAGGTAATAATGCAAGGAAAGTTAATTGCGGATGTGTATACTCTGCGTACATATTGAAACCAGTTCTCTCTGGGCGGAATTTGTAAACAAGAATAGATGCATCAGTGTTCCTTTAGTATCCGAGGAGTATTAAAGCATTTAATTTTGATAATTTTAATAATTCACATAATAGATTCCTTTAACCAGAAAATTTAATTGATTTTTTTATGTGAAAGATGGATCCCATGTCAGGCTGTGACATCCGCCTTGTGTTTACTTTTCCGCCCAAAGACAGTACACTGCAGTACAAAAAATATGTACACCTCTGAAGTAACTTTCCTTGCATTAGTACCTTAAGACAGGGTATCGTTATGAAAACCAGTTTTGAAACCCGGGTTTCACAAATAGGGTTGGGCAGTTTTCTGGATATCAATATTTTTGTTAAGAATATTATTTTATTTAGTTTCTTCATGTTCTCCATATCCTTAAATCTTTTAAATCAAAATCTACGCAAGTGTTCAACGATGCTCTCTTAAATGTCCGCCTTTGGCCTAACCAGAGGGGAATCATGTAGGAAAGCCACCGGAAAAAAAACCAGGAAATAAAACTTTGCTTAAAAAGTCCAAATTTTTCGAAGTTCTAGGACAAAATGTCACTGGAGTATTGTGGTGAGGGGGTCGGGGTCGGGACGGTAAAAGGGGTCGGTCCTGTTCGAATTCAAATTGACCCTAGTCCACCCGTGTGTGCTTTATATACTACCTGGAGCTGAGTCCTTGATCAATAGCAACCCTCATCCTCTGCTCCACAACATGGATATGATCATTGTTCACAACAAGATCCCTAAACAACAATAGTATTCAGTCACCAGCATGGGATAGGGAACCCAGCGTTGCAGGGAAAATAAAATATAACCCAATCAACTAAAATTTTTAACCTTAAATATTCGATCCCGTCAGACCAAATCAGATATAAAAACAGAGAATACTACTCTAAATATATATAAAAAATACTAAATAGATAGATGCAAAGGTAACCGCCGAAAAAGTTTCCGGAAAAAAAGTCCTAAAATTTCACACTAAAAAGTCCTGTGGAAAAAAAGTCCTTTTATTAAAAAGTCTCTGGAAATAAAGTCCTACCAATTCGAGACTTTAAAAGTCCCAGGAATCCAAAACACAGGACTTTATTTCTAGTGACATTTTTTCCAAGGACTTTTTTTCCATAGTTTTATTCCAGGTTTTTTTTCCAGGAACTTTTTTTCCCGGGACTTTCTTACATAGATTCAGATGTAAAAATTGTATTTTCAATAATCAATGTGCTTCTTCTGTGGCAATTAGAGTTTATCTGCCTAAAAGTCGGCCCGGCACACTCCAAACTAGATTGATGTAAATCCCATGGTCATTGGAAAGCTATGCGCGCAGATACGGTCAAATTAACATTATAAACGTCGTACGTCAATGAATTATCAAAATACAAGGTTTCCAGGGCGCTTCACGCCCATCTTCGATTTTAACTTTTATTTCTTACTCTTCTATCGATTTCTTTCATGGATTTTAAAAATAGAATTTTTTTAAAACAAATTTTTTAAATTCTTACCATCCATAAACCTTTCCTGGGATCTTGTAGAGTCCCACAACAAATTTGGGTCCGATCCGTTCACCCGTTTTACAAACACTCAAGCATACAAGCATACAAGCATACAAGCATACAAGCATACAAGCATACAAGCAATATAAAAAGGCCACAAACACAGGGTTTCTAATCCCTATATCTTTGCAACCCAATGTTGTAGACCTTAAATATTTCAAACTGAGAATTATGTGAGCCAAATAATCTTTAAGTTTTAAAAGGTTGCAAAGATATAGGAATTATAAAATTTAGTATTTTTAGCTGAACGGAAAAGTCCAATTTTTTGTGGTAACTTACACACGGCAACATTAATGACCGGTCAGAATAAAAAAAATCATAAATCCGGACGGAAAATCTGCAAAAAATGTATAATTATTATTTTTTTAATGCAGGAAGATTAGCATAAAAAATAAGCGAAATACCCGGCAACTAGTTTCATGAAAATAGATTCTAGTACAAAAGTTGGCAACGTTGAATTTGTACACTCTAAGTACATCTGTATTCTGACGTCACAAGTGTCAACTTAGTTTTTGTGTCCGACAAAATTATTAATAATAGTGATAATTTAGAATAAAGTGCTTATCTTACAGTAAAAAAAGTGCAATTAAATGTATTCGTTATTTTCTGTTTTTACACTTTTTTATTTAATCTTGAAAAACATGTCAACTAATGTGAGAAAATTTTATTTTCCTTGTTATATTTGACACTTGTGACTTGTCATGTATAATTGGTTCATTTTTCTGTTGCCACTTGATAATCTATTTGGTTTTATGGAAATTAATTAAACGCATGTCATTCTGAACAATGACTAAACCTTTTTCTGAAACTAGATATCTGACGCAAATCTGACGAGAAGAATAGATATTTGACGCAAATCTGACGAGAAGACTAGATATTTGACGCAAATCTGACGAGAAGAATAGATATTTGACGCAAATCTTACGAGAAGAAAAGATATTTGACGCAAATCTAACGAGGGGAAAAGATATGACTAATTTTTTCGATGTTGATGAGGCTTTAATAACGACCTGTAACTTAGTAAATCTAACGGTTACAGGTTATTGAAGATACTTAACATACTTAACATACTATATTGAGCAGAGTAGCTTTTCTAAAGATTTTAACATCTTTTTCCTCTTAGAGTAAAACTATTTTTTATGTTACAGGGTGTCCCACGAAACATGACAATATGCAAGATGACTTAAATATCGTTTTGATTTTTGATATAATTTGCTGCATTTATTTGTCAACCTAATTTTAGAAGTAAATTTCTAGAGATAATAATCACAAAATTCCCCTAGTCCTGCCCTTTCCAAAATGTGGTCTGCATTTTTTGTGCTTTCAATATTTCCCGAGATATGAACAATTTCGTTCAGATTTCGACAATTTTGCTTTTATTTAACAAAATTGAAATCTGAACCAAACTCTTTATATCTACGGTAATATTGAAAGCACAAAAAACGCAGACCACTTTTTGGAAATGCCAGGGCTAGGAGAATTATGTGATAATTGTTTCAAGAATCATACATGTTAAAGTAGATAGAAGACTAAATGTCACAAATAAATTCAAACATTGAAGACGACTTTCAAGTCGTCTTGCTATTGTCATGTTTCGTGGGACACCCTGTACTTAAAATAAATTCAATTTTTTACAGATCTTTGTAGTTAATGTGAAATGAATGACTACAATGAAGGATATAAAACAAGGTGAAAGCTGAAAGGTAGGAAATGAATTGCCTTTATTTGATGGAGTTTGTAAATGCCAGAAATGAGTTGAAAATGCAAATCAAACCCAACAAAAACCAATAATTTGATATACATCATGATATTTTTCTATTTACTAGGGGGGGGGGGGGAAAAAAATTCTAGGGGGGAGGTAAATAAATCAAATGTAAATTTTTCGTTTTCACTATTTTTTTTTTTTAGTTGGGCCATGCATTTTAAATATTAAAATGTATCTAATCATTGATTTTTAATGAGCCATCAAAATTATGAATGAAAATATTCCGACATGGAGACAGGATGCAGTTTGATATGGTTAGATTTGCGTGGATTCTGGTTCAGGTTGAGTCAAGGTACTAATGCAAGGAAAGTTATTTCAGATGTGTACACATTTTTTGTATTGCAGTGTGCTGTCTTTGGGCGGAAAAGTAAACACAAGACGGATGTCACAGCCTGACATGGAATCCATTTTCACAAAAATAATCTATGAAATATTCTGGTCATAGGAAACTATTATGTGAATTAATCAAATTATCAAAATTAAATACTTTTATCCTCCTCGGATACTTACTTATAGACGAACACTGATGCATCTATTTTTGTTTACAAATTCTGCCCAGAGAGAACTGGTTTCAATATGTACGCAGAGCATACACAACCGCAATTGACTCTCCTTGCATTAGTACCTTGGGTTGAGTGGCCTTCGCTTTCAACCCCATTTTCACCCATTAAATATTTTTATTTTCTATTTTTTAGTATACCGTCCTCTAAAAAATTGTCCATAAAATTTTTCATATTCGAATGTCAATTTAAAGTGACCGGAGGCGTAATTTTAAATGGCATGTCCGTTTCACAGCGGTACCTTTAAAAGCTTTGTCTGATCAGGTATGATTTAAATCTCTATGCATATTTTCTATTTTGGTTTCTAAGCGTCAAAGTGATTAACGCATTTCTTGATTCAGAAACTATTGAAACATTATCAAATTAAACACATTTCAAGCAAGAAAATCGTCGTTTCACATTCTTGATTAATACCGTTGTGAATCGGGCAAATCCGTTTCAGAGCTTACCTGCAGAGATCTTCAATTTTCCTCCTTGTGTCAGTGATAATCTTAGGTTGGTAGGACAGGATCTTCACGCTCAGACTTCTCTGCAGAACCCGATCCTCTCTCATTTTCATCCTACGCCTAGAACAATATATAGGTTGGTAGGATAGGATCTTCACGCTCAGACTTCTCTGCAGAACCCGATCCTCTCTCATTTTCATCCTACGCCTAGAACAATATATAGGTTGGTAGGACAGGATCTTCACGCTCAAACTTCTCTGCAGAACCCGATCCTCTCTCATTTTCATCCTACGTCTAGAACAATATATGGGTTGGTAGGACAGGATCTTCACGCTCAGACTTCTCTGCAGAACCCGATCCTCTCTCATTTTCATCCTACGCCTAGAACAATATACAGGTTGATAGGACAGGATCTTCACGCTCAGACTTCTCTGCAGAACCCGATCCTCTCTCATCTTCATCCTACGCCTAGAACAATATATAGGTTGGTACGCTCAGACTTCTCTGCAGAACCCGATGCTCTCTCATTTTTATCCTACGCCTAGAACAATAAATAGGCTGGTATGGAAAGCATCTTTATCCTTCGGTGCCTAAGACAATAAATAGGTTGGAGGCTAGCATCTTTATGCTACGCCTAGATCAATATATAAGTTGGTAGGATAGCATCTTTATCCTACGCCTAGAACAATATATAGGTTGGTAGGATAGCATCTTTATCCTAATCCTACGCCTAGAACAATATATAGGTTGGTAGGATAGCATCTTTATCCTACGCCTAGAACAATATATAGGTTGGTAGGAAAGCATCTTTATCCTAATCCTACGCCTAGAACAATATATAGGTTAGAGGATACTATCTTTATCCTACGCCTAGATCAATATATAGGTTGGTAGGATAGCATATTTATCCTACGTCTAGAACAATATATAGGTTGGTAGGATAGCATCTTTATCCTACGTCTAGAACAATATATAGGTTGGTAGGATAGCATCTTTATCCTACGCCGAGAACAATATACAGGTTGGTAGGATAGCATCTTTATCCTACGCCTAGAACAATATATAGGTTAGAGGATACCATCTTTATCCTACGCCTAAATCAATATATAGGTTGGTAGGATAGCATCTTTATCCTTCGCCTAGAACAATATATAGGTTGGTAGGATAGCATCTTTATCCTACGCCTAGAACAATTTATAGGTTAGAGATACCATTTTTATCCTACGCCTAGATCAATATATAGGTTGGTAGGATAGCATCTTTATCCTACGCCTAAAACAATATATAGGTTAGAGGATACCATCTTTATCCTATGCCTAGAACAATATATAGGTTGGTAGGATAGCATCTTTAAGTTTAGAACAATATATAGGTTGGTAGGATAGCATCTTTATCCTACGTCTAGAACAATATACAGGTTAGAGGATATCATCTTTATCCTACACCTAGAACAATATATAGGTGTTGACTTTAAAAGTCACTATAATAAAATAAAGAGATCTAAAATGGATATTTCTAACATTTATTTTAAAAAAACGAGGTTTTTGAAATATTTGCACTTAAGGCGGAGTTAAAATTGGTTGATTTAGAAATTAACAAAGGAATAAATGATGAGTATTTGGGGGTACTTCATGGGAGTGATGTAGAGCTTCATGTTGGTGGAGCAGATCAACAGGTGCGTTGCGCTGAGTATCTGCGTCATCATCATAAAGGAGTCATGGGGGTGATGTAGAGCTTCATGTTGGTGGAGCAGATCAACAGGTGCGTTGCGCTGAGTATCTGCATCATCATCATAAAGGAGTCAAGAGGCTCCCTGTGTCGGAGCTGTTACCGGCTCAACTCTCTAAACCTGACTGAGCTGGGATGTGTTATAGAGGGGTGAGGCGGGGAAAGACGGTGCAAGGGTTACATGTGTGGGCTTCATGGCGGAAATGGATCTTGTGTACACACACATCTTGAGAAAAGGCTACGGCATTTGAGTCGGAAAAATCGTCTTCCTTATATTTTCGAATTTGTGTTAACAATAGGTTGGTAGGATAGCATCTTTATCCTATGCCTAGAACAATATATGGTTGGTAGGATAGCATCTTTATCCTAAGTTTAGAACAATATACAGGTTGGTAGGATAGCATCTTTATCCTTCGTTTAGAACAATATATAGGTTGGTAGGATAGCATCTTTATCCTACGTTTATATATATGTTGGAGGATAGCATCTTTATCCTAGGTTTAGAACAATATATAGGTTGGTAGGATAGCATCTTTATCTTACGTTTAGAACAATATATAGGTTGGAGGATAGCATCTTTATCCTGGGTTTAGAACAATATATAGGTTGGTAGGATAGCATCTTTATCCTACACCTAGAACAATATATAGGTTTGTAGGATAGCATCTTTATCCTACGTCTAGAACAATATATAGGTTGGAGGATAGCATCTTTATCCTAGGTTTAGAACAATATATAGATTAGAGGATACCATCTTTATCCTACGCCTGAAAATCAAAAATTAGAAATTGAGTCTTGGCCGCAAACTAAGAATTACCAAAACCTACATCTTTGGAAACTAATGGCGGTGACCTTTATCAGTATTTCAAACTATGAATTCTTTGGATCAAAAAATAATATTAATTATAATATTAAAGGTTGACACCATCAGGTTAAAAAGTTATAGGGATTAGAAAATTTGAGTTTGTGACAAAGACTCAATTCCTGTATTTAGATGCAAAGCAGTCCTAGATACAGAGTATCTAAAAAGAATTAGCCTTTAGAGACGACTGTACGGACTTAATACGGTCATAATTCCCTTCAACTGTAAACTTGTTGTATTTTTGCCAAATCATAAATAAATAAATAAAAGTAAGTAAAAAATTATTTATTTATGAAATATAACAAAAACATACAAAATTAAGTGTTTCAAGAGAAAATATTTAAAAACCTCTAAAAGTAGAGGTTGCGGGAATATTTCCCCAAAATTCTAAAAATAATAATAGAAATAAAAAGAAAAGGAAAGGAAAGGATAAGGAAAGGTACATATTTATTGTTTACACTATATTTAATATAAATTGGTGGTGGCTTGTTAGTATTTTTCGACGATGAACTAACAACTTTTAGAAATAAAAATTATAGATTTATTTGTAAAGTTTAAAAAAAAAGTAAAAAAATCTTTATGGAGTCACCCTGAACTAACGAGAGAGAGAAGCATTCGGTTTCTTTTATTTGAAATCAAACGTGTTTTCGTCTATAACTCAACAGTCTTTAGACTTAGAGATTTGTTTATTTTATACTTTTTCCTTTATATATATGTGTATGCCAACAAAAAAGTATTTAAGATAAAAGGCTATAAAATTATGTAAAAGGGGTCAAATTGTGATCGAAAGTCACAATTTTCTGAAATATTGACAGAACCGTTAAATCCACGTGGAGTGTGAAAGAGATTTAGGTTCTATGAAAAACGGGTATTTTTAAGCATTTTTAACCCATTAAACAACTTGTAAACTTGGAATCATCATATTTCACAAACTCATTCTAAGTGCTTTCCAGCATTAGATCATTGTTGGTTAATTGTGTTAAATGAATCTAGGTTACAAAGGAAGAGACTTTAATGAAAATCTGGAGCATTTTACGGGATTCTGAGCCTACTTGTAATTACACATATATACTCCGATTTTCGGAATTTAGTTTTCCCAATTTTACCGCTTAAAGATGTTCATAAGGGTCTCAAAAAATCGATGCTTTCTCTCATAATAATTACGAAATAATCAAAATTGAGAACCTGAGTTCTTGCCAAAAATTCAAATTTTCTAATCATCATATTTTTGCCATCCTGATGGAATAACCTGTGAAACTTAAACGATTAAAACCAACAGAATTTATACTTATATCTGTTGCATTTATCAGGAGAAAATTGTTAAAAACGACTCTTACCGAAGATCATTGCGTCCATACAAATTCGGAAAGTTGCAATAAGTTGTAATGTCTGAATGATATTTTTGGAAATAAATAGATTTTTTACGATCCGAGTCGAATATTGCAACTTTCTGAATTTGTATGGACGCTACGTTCTTTGGTAAGAGTTGTGTTTAACAATTTTCTCCTTATAGATATATGCAACAGAAATAAGTAAGATTAGTAGAGATCAACATCGATAATTTTTAGACGTAAGCCTATACCCCTTTCATTTTTGCGAACACTCCCTTTAAGAAATTTGATGTATGTAAAGGTTACATTTGATCTTTGCATCAACAATAAATGCAATAAGTTGGTATCTATATATTATTAAAAGAAACAAAATAATAGCAAACCATGAATCAGATTTTTCAACTATTTGTAAACAAGACATATTGGAATGCACGGAAAACATGCATAAAATTGATTGTGTCTTTGCCACAAACTCAAATTTTCTAATCCCTATATCTCTTAAACCTGATGGTGTAAACATATGTCGTATTCAGTTTATTTATTTGACATAATTTATAGTTTTAAGTAACAAAGGAATACGATATTAGGTTGCAAAGGTATAGGGGATAAAATTCATAGAAAGATTGGTAAGATTATTATTATTCCAAAAATGAGGGAATTATGTATATTTTCAATTTTGAAAAAAAAAACAATGATACTTTCTGTAAAGTCGTCTTCAAGATCTATATGTGGTGGGCAACCCTGTTAGGTTTAAACTTGTTTCGTAATTACGAAGCAAACCAGTTGAAAGGAGTTGAGTTTTTGCCAAAAACTCTGATTTTCTAATCTCTATATCTTTGGAACTCAATGTACGTCGTAGACCTTAGATATTTTAAACTATTAATACTTATAGATAAAATAATAATAATAATAAAATATCAAAGGTTTGCACCATTAGGTTGCAAAGATATTAAGACTAGAAGATTTGAGTTTGTGGCAAAAACTTAATTAATTCCTTTAATAAGAAATAAAAGTATGAGTTATATATTAATGTAATGCTTTATGTACTGTTTAATTTCTTATATTATGAACTTGATCAAAAAAAATTTTAAAAATTTAATTATATTCTGATAACCGACATTTCAAGCTATTATTTCTATTAGATTTAAAAGTCAAAGTTTGAAATTTCGAAGGTTTACCAACCATGAGGTTGCAAATAT